TACCTAAAAAGGCTGGTTAACCAGAGTGGCAAACAAGAAGATTTGACCGGAGATGCACAAATGCAGGGACAGCCAACGTCATTCAATAACTGTGAGTGCCCTCCTTTAATTTATTTCTGAATAATGTTAGAGGCTTAAATTACATATATATATATATATATATATCATGGAAATGAAGTGGTGAAACAACTAGGAAACGGGTGTTTAGCTGAATATCAAGTATATCGAAAAAGGTAGTGGGCACGACCGTAATATGTTGTGGCTATCCTGTGCTTCGTATGCGACGTCTGCTAGACGTTGTCTCACGTATAAACAAAGACAGACGATACTCAATTAGTGGGACACTACGAAGGCGATTGAGACAAAAATTTATGCGAACAAGACTGTGTCTGAGTAGAGAACTGTAAGCGAACATGAATGATATTCACGCTAGTGACTCAATCAAACTGGGTGTTGAAGAAACCTAGAGCTGTTTCATACACGCGGGAAAAAACCCACCTTACTACCCGCTGCTGTTTGATTTCTTCCTCGAAAGTTAAACTGATTCAGATCGATTCACACAGTGTCGCCTGCGGCAAATGTAACTGGTAGTCTATTTCAACAAGTCGCTTAGAATAAATATTACCGTCTCGCCTGCGTTACATTAATTTTATGGTGTCTGATCCAGTCTTTTACATACTGTCAAGATTACATTTCAGGACCTCTTGCATCGGCACAACGGTGAGTCATGAACAAAAGCAATTCAATTATTTGCATAATAAATAGATTTCACCGGGGGATCTCAGCTGGGTCTCTCGTTTACGACATTCAGCTGAGATTCATTTGATTGCCCCGTTAAGATCAAACTGGTGTGCAAATGAGTATAGTTCGCAAATTTCGTACAATTTGAATTTAAGTACAACACAAGGTTGACGGAAACTCTGAAACTGAGCTTAGCTGATGAGTCCCTTAAAAAGGACGAAACCGGTCTTCGACGAGTCTTCGGCAACTTTGTGAGTAATGCTATTTCAAGCGAACCAAATATTCAGTAGGGTGTTGCATGATGGCAACAGGTGGCAAAATTTCGATTAAGTACAAGGGTTATGTGGTTTGACAGAGACATCACGCGAGGATGGCGAATCCATCGGGCAATCAGTGGAAGTTTCAACGGAAACTTCGTCCCCCAAGTGAATTTAATTGCGCCGAAAGGCCTAGAAGCACTGTTTCATCCTTATTGGGGGAAGGTCACTGAGCTCCACAGAATTAAGTTTAAACCATCAGTATTTCAATAAGCGACATGTGTCCACAAAAACCTACTTTGTTGTTCGAAAAGTTCACCGGAATGGGCAGGGGTGTGTGCTTGTAGGGGATGTCTAACTAGTGACACTAAATATGACCAGTGCTGATCAGTCAACTGTAAGTCAGCTGCCAAATGTTAAAGCACAACAACGTACTACTGACAGGGAAGGTGTACATAGATTCGACTAAACTGTGCTTTTGAGAAATCGCGGAGGATATGGGTACTGGGTTGCTGCATAGATGAGTTAGTTGCCAGATGGCACTAAGTCATCTTTACTACAAGCCCAGAAGAGCCACGTAAATTTGGTGCAACTAATAGGACTGCGTTTAAGAGAGTCCTCACAGGGAGAAGAGAAATTACCGCGTCAGACTTTCAAGTCCGTAAATCGTTTGATGATCTTATTGAACACGGTATGCATTAACAACGTGTATTTAGCATGTCCTTGACAAATTTGGTCACGACAGTCGATCGCATCGCCGCACGAAACACACTACCAGGAGAGTAGGCGTTGCCCATAGTGCGGGAAAACCATGCTGGTTATTTGTGATTCATGTTGCATGTCGACATACACACTGTGCTCACAAGTGACCCACTTTGATCTCAACACATCAAGCTGATTTTCGCTTACTCATGCCAAGAGTAATTTTATGCGATCTACAAGTGTCCCCATTTTGAACTGATTACCCGCAACGTATGCTGATGTCCAAATGAGAAAGGAAAGTCCTCCCTATGACCATTACGTACTCATACTCATTTCCAAAATGTGTTGCTTTCTTAGTACGGGAAAACATGCACCCACGCCTTACTCAATTGCTTTTCGAATTCTAACATTACAGTCGGCTGCAGAGACCAAGTAGGCTGAAGGAAGCTCTATTTGGACGCTTCGTGAATGTTTCACAAAATACATAGCAGCTTTGGATTTTAGACAAACAACTTTTCGATAAGTAAAAAGTTCTAGTCAATTCTCAGGATCGGAAAATAACGTGACAGAGTCAGAATTACCAGAACTTAGGTGAACCGCATATATAACCCATAAAATCCACTTGAGTACTGAGAAACCGAAGAAAAAAGCAGTGGCCTTTCTGATTGCGTTGCAGAAGTCCACATGTTCCTACTTCGCGACATGTAGCACATTAGGTTACTGCTGTAAAACCACGATGCGAGGATACAGTTATGAAAAAAGGTCAGACCAACCACCAAATATCTCTCGCTGCATGGCACATGAAGATGTAGTGACTAGACTGCTCTGTCTATTCTATCACTGCTTCAGCACAAACTGACCTAGCGGCTGAAGCGAACTGATGACTTTGGGGTCTATAAAACGGGTTAATGTGCGCACGATGCATCATACTTTTTTTAAATTCTCATCTCATATTTCGTAACAGATGACATTTTGGAATAGCGATCTGTAGGCAATTCGAAATCGTTCAATGAGTTCAATCACCGGGTTGTTTGGAGATGCACAAAAACAACTGAGCTTTCCAATGAAGCAGTGGTTTATTGCCAGTATTTATACTTGTTTCAGAAACACCAACTGTTTGAGGACCCGTTGTTACATCGGTACCAAGTAAGGGAATTTCCGCACTGGATTGTTGTGACTGAGATGGGGTGCACAGCGATCGAATAACTCACAGGTGGTAACAAAAAATGTCAAAATAATCCACTGCTGGTTGATCGGAACAGCAATTGGCGGTGTGTTGGTTGAGACTCCCACCTGGGTGCGCAGTAGACTACCATTCAGACACCATCGATCGGTGTAGCAAACAGATACTACATTGCACTCAAAACCCATGAATATAAAGAACCTAGTGCCACCGTAGAGGAAAAATTACAGCAATGAAGGGTAATGGGCTCAGCTGGAGTGCACAGCGTTGCGAAGTGCACAATGACGAGAACAGTCGGATTTGGAACCAACCAGCTCGTCCAGACAGATCAAATGGGTAAAGACCTAATTTTCTCCTTGCCAATGTCAATGTTGCTGCCGACCAATCAAGATTTATAGCGAAATTCCGTCAGCATATGGAGGCCCAATTACCCGGATATTACAAGTCGTTTAAGGTAGTCAATACTTGAATTCGAATAGTTCCAGATGTATGGAAGTTAGCAATCTAACGGTTGAATTATTTCCGACTTTTCATCGCCGTTTCGATAGCAGCGGTGCTATTCGGTGACACAGGCATAGGAGTGCAACCAGTACAGATAACGGCTAAAAGCGATACACGCATTCATTACAGGACGAACGCATTCATTAGCCGTATAGTTGATATCTGTCGCACCATAATCTGACGGTCGAAAATAGCAGAATATTATGAATCAGAGAAGTGAGACATCTGGGCACCTGATTAGTGAAGCCATAAACTGTGGATGAGCATCACAAAGACCACTAGATCAGTAGAGTAGAATAAGGTGGTTGACAGGTCGAAGATAGTCCTTCTCCAATCAGTCACGTGTTCCCACCAGCCACCCGGACACAGATTCTTGATATTCATGCGTTCAAACTCCCGGGTTTGGAAACTCATATTATAGCTCATCCACTTTCCACATCCCAGCAGATGTAAGGATAATTGATATGCATGAATATGATGCGGACAAAAGCTGCCGCTGAAATCGATCACATGATCGATATACGAGTACGGTATGGTCCACCATTACCTGCCCACTAGCTCAAATCGACTGACGCTGCCTTCGCAATGTAAAGTGAGAGAAGCTGGTGGTTCATAGATCAGGTACCAAGAAGAAGGAACTTCTTAAGGAAAGACGAAAGCTCTACAGTGAAGGGATGAACAGCGTAATGCATTCATCCCGTTTGGAAAGAGGAATTTTCGGCCTCAAGTTTAAACCGGATTCAGTTCTGCTTTGCTCGCCACCATGGGAATTTAAGAATGAAATATGAACTTACACATCTGGCCTAAACAGAGTGCAGAATTTGAGAAGATAGAAAGAGGAAAAGAAAGCGTTCAGCTGTAGCACCCTTCCGGTGCCTAGCTGCCATGCCACCTGAAGGGAGCACGAGGGCTGGGATACTGCCAGGTTGCCCAAGCCTAGACAGGAGAAGTCGAGAGGCGGAGGTCGGATTCGAACAACGGACCTTCCGGTCAGTAAATTCGCGCTCTAACCACTTGGGCCATCTCGCCCTGCAGAATTTGAAATAGTACACCTAACAAGAATGGAGTTAGGTGGACCTCAGTCCTGCATTGGAGTTAGATATGGGATTCCTTAGAAAAAAGGGGAGTATACCACTCCAGGGTGGAACGAATCGCTCGACCAATCGCAAAAAGCGGGAAAGAAAGGGAGCATCCGGTGAAGGTCATCTCGGAGCCATCGTTAACCTGTTTGTCACAGCGCAGCTTGAACTGGAAGTCAGTATAGGCCACATAACATTGCATTTATCTGTCTGTAAGTCCGCTGCTTATAGTGTGAAAGAGGTGTGCAAAAAAGTGACTTACCAATACGCTCCGGGTCGCAATAATCGGTAGGTGGTTCGCAATATGGGCGCAGGACAATTTCAAATCCGTTATTCAACCAAGGGTCTCGCTCGACCAATCGCAAAAAGCGTGAAAGAAATGGAGCATCCGGTGAAGGTCATCTCGGAGCCATCGTTAACCTGTTTGTCACAGCGCAGCTTGAACTGGAAGTCAGTATAGGCCACATAACATTGCATTTATCTGTCTGTAAGTCCGCTGCTTATAGTGTGAAAGAGGTGTGCAAAAAAGTGACTTACCAATACGCTCCGGGTCGCAATAATCGGTAGGTGGTTCGCAATATGGGCGCAGGACAATTTCAAATCCGTTATTCAACCAAGGGTCGCGCATCACCTCCTGAATGGGGATAAACGAAAATCGACGACTGTTCAGTCAAGGCAAGATTAGTATTATCTACTCCAAGAAGTGAATTCTCATCGTACAGACACAGAGCAGATACGTAAGAACAAGCATGCAGAGAGATCGTCCAGCTGTAGCACTCTTTCGGTGCCTTACTGCCATGCCATCCAAAGGAAGCACGAGGGCTGGGATACTGCCAGGTTGCCCAAGCCTAGACAGGGAAAGTCGAGAGGCAGTGCAGTGGCAATGCACCGGAAATGCAGCCAAAGGGAAGTAGCATTAACGCAATGGACGAAGGCTAACATGATACCAGATCATGTTGAGAACTGCGGAATTTCGGTTCGTATTAGTTTTGGTACGAAAACGTTGGTATTTGGATCACGCGTAGGAAGTCAGTAAAACCTGAGATAAAGTCGAGAAAAGGGTGTTCACCGTCAGACACTATTTTCCCGGTTGAGTTATCAATACTTTCTGACCATACAGCAAACCAGGACACTCCTGGAGATTCCATCGCACTTAACAGACTATTTCAGCGGCGTAACTCTGAAGCGGTAGTCTTTCCCCAAAACGTCATGGAATATGAAACAGGAACAGTAAGTCCAGCGACAATGGCTTTGTGAATAAGATTTAAAGCAAGAGATGGTGTTTTATCTAAAACCAAAGAAAGTCACAAGAGTGTGGCGTAAGAAGACGGTTCAAATATGAGGCGACCACCTGAGATTATTCACGAGGATAACGCGGAGGTAGTTCACATCAGTGGATCTTGGAAGACGGCAGCGGGTCCATTCAATCCGGCATGTAATTTCGTATGAAATTCTGATCTGCGATAGTTACTTACACCGGCAGAAAGTAAGAAACGTCTAGGTCAGGATAAACATGACAAAAAGAACGCCACCCTGTAAAAACACCTGTTTGGGTTGGTAGTGATGAAGATTTTCGGTTGACAAGACAGGGTTAGCGGAAATAACGTCGTCTTAAATTAAGACTGAGCGGTATTCGTTTAGGAAGAAGGATTTACATTCTACGATTGAACAACTAGTATGAGGAAGAATTCAAAATGAGCTTTTAGACATCACTACTGTTAAAAAGACGGCGACCGACCCACATTTTTGCGAAATTTACACTGACGGTCAACAGAGAACCAGTCGCTACCGTCAGGTCCAATGAATCCATTATCAGGATCAGTATGAAGCCAGCTTTCATGAACCAAAACTACTCCAAAACACCAGAGTTTTTTGCGAATTGAGTTGTAACAAATTGCCCAAAAGTGGGCGAACGTTCCGAATAGATTAGGCAGAACAAACATTTTCTAAACATTTCTATATTTAACAGCTACCAGCTCCGTGTTTTCACATAACAATCCCAACTATTGCAAACACAGTTATCGAAATGCTGTATGAACGAGATACAACAACGAAAAGAAGTCATGTGGGATAAATATGGCTACGAAACAGACTGTGAGACAGTAAAAGGATAATAAGCGGGAAAAGTATAACACAACAGATGGATGGCACAGCCACCTTCAATGTCCCCACAATCAGAAGCCACCAACTCCGTCCAAACGGGACAAAAAAGGAGAATGGAAGCAGCAGCATAAGACTCGAATCTGGTCACTGTGAATGTCCTCTAACAGGAAATTCAACAATGGGATTGGGGAATCAGGAAGAAAGAAAACCGGAAAACCAAGAGTGAAGTATCCTAGCATGAATGTCAGTGTGTGGCTTTTGTGGATACATACGTATGCAGTCACTCCCGTAACTGACTGGGCGGTGCGACGCAGTGCGTGTCGTAAACCTCAGAACAGTGAAGTGAGCCGATTGTTGTCTGATTCCCTGTCCAAAAGTGAGAATGTGTCCAGTGCCACTAAGGATAGGTGCGAAACCAGCTGAAAACGACTGCTGGAGTGCGCATGACAGGATCGCACAATCGGCTAGCTTTCATTCAGTAGCAAGCACAACGATCGTAATGATCCAAAGGCAGGTGTGAAACGAACTGTTTGGCAGACTGGTAGACACTGGAACTAAGTGACCTAATCGTCAATCGTACCGGTTTAGGCGAGAGAGACATCATTCAACGCCACAGTGCACAAAAGCATGAGCTTTGTGAAACCGAGTCAGCCCACAAGTTGCGATCAAACGTCTAGACTTACAGATAAAACATTCCATTCGGACCCTGACGGTCAATTAGTAGGCTCAAGGGTACAACGATCTTTTATCCTGCAACCTATTAAAAGGTCACCACAACGGCAGTCAATTTCAAGGCAACTACGCGGGACTCGAACCCCGGGCACTGGATTATCACAGGAAAAAAATTTCCATTTACCTAACTGAAACCACAGACACAAGCTACCTGAAATTGTGCTGGCAAAGGCTAGAACGCTGGTCAAAGGGTAGACAGCGTCATGGGACGTATCAACTTCGACTGGAAGGTTGGAAACAAGCAAGCAATCGAACTTTTAACTCCGTGTAAATGCCATCCATAGGTTACACGTGCGCAACGGCTTATCAGCAGTAATCAAAATCAAAATATAATGTTCTGTTCCATAAAAACACTTTGATGTGAATAAAAAAATATTGGATGTGCGGTATTATCCGGACAAGAAAAAGCGTTTGGTTTCAAAAAGGTCCTGAAATCGCCCACGAATGACAAAGTATCGTGGCTTCTAGAAAAGATTTCGCTAGTATCTTTTGAAACGTGAGCACTTCTTTGTATGTGACTAAAATTTGGGCGGCTGAAGGCAAGCTGAAGTAAACCGAAAGCTAGAAAAATTGAATAACCTGTGACAAAATTTCCTCATACTGCGATCAACGTATGAATTAGCTGTAGCTGGATGCGGGAGTTGTTGAGTTCGCATTCATGTCACTCCAATTTGAACAGCTCTTCTCCCCTCCTGGCTAAATTATTATTCCTATACTTCCGCACCAAAGATAGAACGGAGCACTGAACACACGTTTCACTTATTGGAGCTCATTGGCACTGGGTATCCATGGCCGTTCCATGATCTGATCTCCAGATATCTGAATGCGAGTTGAGCGTGCTGCCACTAATTCATCATCGCACGCTGAACTCATCTGAATGATAGAATCCAAAACAGGCGAATGTGATCCCGTCCAAGTAAACGATAGTGATGTGGTTGTGAACTGAGCGAGTCCCTCAAAGACTAGGCAAAAACGGTCCAGGAGATATCAAGCATCCGCGAAGCCACTTGACTGGGAAATCCTGAGGCGAGTGAAGCGACCAACACGACCAGGGCCGTTACTGAGGGAGTCTGGTAAAGCCAACCACACTGCTCAAGCGTGAACAGATTTCCGGTGTTCGAGACCCAAAACGGCCACAAACATGCATTTTTCACTGAGCCCTAATAAGAGTGAAATATGGGTCCAAAGCTTCCCGCTTTTGGCGAGGACCCCGAATAATAATTTCGTGGAAGGAGGGGAGAATGTTCAAACGAGAGTGGAGTGAACAAGAATCAGCATACAAATCTGTGTTTAGCAACCGCCCTCCAGTGAACAGGAATTTGCGGTTGCTTCATTGACAGAACTGTGTACTATGATTGCTGGATCTACGTTTATCTACGTTTTCATTACTTTCAGTTACTTCCGAGGGTATTTAAAGCGATAGAAGTAAAGCGCTGCGAAAAAGCCTTCAAGATATTCAACCGAGCATGGGAAGCTTTTGGCCGGCTATGAGACGGTGGTTATGGGCTAAAAACAGGCGAATCGATCGAGAAACCAATTTAGATAAGCAAATGGTATTGCGTTTCGTAAGTAGGTTGGTCTACTTGCCGTCAGATCCTTTGTCATTCTAGCTCAATTCCATCCAGATCGTTCCGCCAAAACTGCCTACATGGGTGGTCTAGGTCCCGTTTAATGCGACAATAACAAGGACACCAGGGAATGATATTCATTTGGACGTTGTCTAGGCTGGGTTTGCCACCCGATCATGGTTGATTGACACTAGCACCCAGTGCACATAAAGCGAATACCAAGATGCTCAGCGTTACATAGGAGCACAAAAAAGTTTCGGTTGAATTTCAAAAGCAACGAAAGGACCTAGCGCAGTATCAGCAAATATACGCAAACGACAACAAATCCTAATGAGTTGCGATCGTTAACCGTGTTTACCCGGCTTAAAATAAGGAGACCTATATGTCAGTCTACTACACCGGTTGTTTTCATTTTCTCCTTGTTGCCATGGCAACCAAGCAGCTACAACAAGCGACCTTACTGGTGCAGGCAGTGAATGGGATTAGGTGGGAAAAAACGGGGCTCCTCGGCCGCACAATACCCTTAGCTGTAAAACCTCTGCGAGTGGAACAAAACTTTTTACGCCAAAATGTTGCATTTTGTCGCGTATGTGTAAGGATGGATCGGCTTTAGAGATAGTGCGGGTTGCAGCGTCCCAGGAATGGCGGTCGGAAACATATAGATATCCAGTTCTGGTGCCGATGACGAACACCGTAAAGTGAGCAGACCCAGATGTTTCCTGCATTAGTTGATGAGATCGAAGGTTAGTTGGGGGCTACGTGGAACGTCTATCACACTACCAACGTGTGCTGAATGCAGCTGTGGTCTTTGTCGCACAATATATTTAATCCTGCCATACATGACGCCAGCTTACCAGAATGCTAAGTCGGTTCCCGATGGGAACGAGGCAGGTTTGATGCGAAAGCAAAGAAGCTGAATTTATTGCTCTGACGTGGATCATACAACTACTATACCCGCGGTCGAACGTACTCCATGTGAAAGACAAATTTTATCCCGTAAAATCTCCGGCATAATGAGGAAAGCGGTTAAATATTTACGAAAATTGGCATGTGACAGAAAGCGAGGAAGCTATCATATTCTTATACACTGCACCAGCTGTAATCAGAACAGTTATACTGAGACCATCCAGATGCCTGTAATGATTAGCTTTCCCCTCTCTCTCTCGGAGGAGAAAGGGAACCAAAACGACTATGTGAGAGGATTGTCACCTTTTGAAGAAAACCACCACAAATGTTGATCTGCGGAGGAAAAACCAGTAGTGCATCGGACAGATGGGTAGAAGGACTGCAAAACAGCCTTAAATGAGTAATCCGAAAGAAAGATAACGTATCTGACATGCAAGACTAAACAGGACGCAAGCGCACTGACCAAAACACCGAACACCTGATATACAAAGGAACCCCTCTGACGGACTCTAGTCAAAGAAGTTCATGGGACCAAATCATTTTACAACACGACAAAAAAGATGAGGACAGTGTAGATCGAAGATCCAGTTCTCCGACAACCGATGTTCCAGAACTACGGCGCGCGTCGCCTGGTTCCGGTAGGTTACCAACAAAGTCAGAGTGTGGATTGGTTGCATGGTGGCTTAGGAATCTGACCAAGACGACAAACGGTGATGACACGGCTACGTTTTCCGGGCAATCGTTTATTGAAAAGCGTTCTATAATGGATTTCGAGTAGAACAACCGAAGTGAAAGAATTGGGATTTATGAAGGGTTGAGTCTACGCTTGTCCCGGAGTTCGGTTGCAGAAGTTGGGAGATGTCCCTGTCAACTAACCTAACCCACTAGCAATCCTCACCGAAATCATGTGGTTGGAGAAGATCTTTGTAGAACGCCAGCATAAACTCCTTCCTTCCAAATAAGGTCCACTTTCACCTTGAGACTTTGTTGCATCACATTCACATGGCTGTAAGACTGACGTTAAAAAAGTTGTTGGGATCGACGAGGGTGAACCAAGATGAGATGCCCTAAAGCCTGGTGACACAATACCACCACCTTAAAATTGCTACAGTTTATCCGGCTATGTTGTTTCAACACTGGTGACAACGCAAGGAGTGTGAGAACACTTCATTACTATGCTAATTTATTCCAGTGGAAGCACACCGGAAGGCTGGACAGAGAGGTCAGTGAATCTCTCGATCTGATTTTGTAAGAGACAAGGTCACCGAAAACATTGTGCAGCGGATTGGTCAACATTAGTTGCTAACTTCAGAAAGTCACGGATAGGCTGGTGCGCTAGGTGAATAACACTGAAGACGACGAAAACGAATGTTGTTCTCAAAATGTTGACCGACCGTATTGAATTCTCTTTAGAAGGCCGTATCGAGGGCCACGATGGAATCACAAGGCGCCTAAATACGTTCTCCCCTGAAGGGATACCAGCTGAGAGAACGGACGACGAAAAATCGCATCTGTGAGGGCTCGATAACCCCGAACAGTTTCTCCTGATGGCTCAATATGAATTCCAAAATTTATATAAAATGACGGCTTAGGTGTCCACATTGGAAAGTGTAACAAACCGTTCACAACTAGCGACTGTTTGAGCAAGTCAGTGAATGCACAATCATATTCAGTGACATATAACTGGATAATGAAGCGCATAGAACTTAGCATAATTAGCCCAAACTCCTAAAAACGAAAAAAAAACTAGCACTGTCGGGCAGGCCGTCAGAGAGCGCTGACTTATCAAAAACCTGGGTGCATATGCCCCCCAAACAAACAAAAATTTGAGGGAAAACTAGCATGTCGGGCAGGCCGTCAGAGAGCGCTGACTTATCAAAAACCTGGGTGCATATGCCCCCCAAACAAACAAAAATTTGAGGGTAGGATGCCGCTAAGAAACGACAACAAATGAGGCGAAGACCTTTGCTGGTGACCACCCGTTTTTCCTGATCGATTTCTGTTGCAACTTTTCTGGCAAAGAATCTGAGTGGAAGTAGATCAAAGGTCAGCCCATTGATGACTCACTACACCGTTTCTCATCTAAAGTTACGGGACGTACCAATATATTACGGTACCGTACTCTTCAAATCCAAGAATGGTAACGGTTGCAGCATTAGGCCTGCTGAAATGATCGCTTCCGATGAACCTAATGAGTGGTAGTCTTAGACGAAGTTTTGTTGCATTTGGTGCGAAGCAAAGACCATATGGAGTAGATGGGGGGGGGGAGAAGACTTACCGAAAGTGGGAGTCGTTTGGCGGGGTTGAGCACGAGCATTTTCTTCAACAGCGTTTCACATTCATGAGTCATGTAGAATGGGACTCGGTAAGTTCCACGAAGTACGCGTTCTCGAAGTTCCTGCAGATGAATGGATGAATTGAAACAAAGGATATACATTCGAACGGGGAACTGGCAGGTGAATCGAGAAACACAGGAACACCATACATTTGACCGCATGGCGAAAATGCTGGTTGAAAGAGAAAAAAATGTCGATCGATTTAGAACATTATCACCCCACCATCCATCGGCCATCGCCAGTGTGGGGTAAACTTCCCATACTTTCGTTTTTCTTCGTAACGGCCCCGACGTAATGACCACTATTTGCTAGACTCCCAGCCTGGTGGGACATCAGCTTAAATACACAGCCTATGTCAAGTTATCGAACTTGGTTCACATGTGGTGTCTGTAGGGCATTTGGGCAATGTAAAATGTGCAAGCAAAAACAACCATCACCGGCATAACAGAGAGAAACAATAAAAAAATGAATGATGTGCTTCCAAATCGTTTCAGTGAACATGAGAAAGTGTTTGAGTGGCCGTCAGAGAAATCATGCTTCAACCGGTTCTAACTTCGCTTGAAATGATCTGGACGTGTCTGTCATGTACATGACGATGAGTAGTGAAAAATGCCACCAATCCAACCTTTTGCAGAAAATTGCGGTGAAGCCAAAACAACTAAAGGCACGGCTCAGTATGATCAGATCAAGCATGGATAACATTGAGTCTCAACGTGTCCACATTGCCCATCGTTAGAAACGAGAAGTCTTGCCAATCGTGGTCAACTGCAATTCAGTAGTCTTCGTAATACATAGTTTATTAGAATCGTCCACTACCGACTCAACAAACCAAGAATTAAGCGAATAATCTCCATAGAACAATTAACAAAAAGAACACAGCTTCCCGCCAGACGTGTCAGCTCCACTATGGATAGGCGGTCCCACACTTCCAACCGGCGGCTACCTCGCATACAGGTACAAACATTAGGCAGTGTAAAAATGTTTTTGAAGAGAAACTGTCCAAAACAGTTCTTCCGTCGTAGTGGTGGCGGCGGCGCACAGAAAATAAGGTTAATGCAGTGAGTGCATCTCGACGATGGATGTCAAACTTTAAACAAAAGGATGATGGTCAAGTGGGAACCATCTGAACACGGAGTTTTTCTCGAAGTCCAAGAAAGAAATAGGTTGACTGCGTTGAAAGAATTTGTCGCCAAGTGTCAGGTTGCAGAGGCACGTTGACACCTACGTTTCCCACAATTGCAGATGACGATCAAACGTTCCGGTGTATCCCAGTTTCGATACGGTTTTTGAAATGTAGATCTCAGCTCAATGTTGTTAGGACTGATGTGCTTTCAGTGGATAAAAGGCATGAGAAGGTGTTTTTGACCGTTTGAAATGCCAATGGGAAAACGACCGTGCAGCTGTTATCTCTTTATCAAGACCAATTTATTGGCTGTTAAACAGGCGGTACCGCCGAACCTCACAGTGGATTTGCTAGCGTTTCGTTATCATACGAGGAGATATCACCACCAGTCGGCTGGGTGGGCGAACAGCGCAACTGCTACCGGGCTACCAACCCATAAACTCACCCGAATTACCAACATTGAGACACGTTGCCAAGGCCCGAAAAACCAAAACTGACCACCGATGAGTAGCAGCACGCAAAAATGGGTGCATTTTTGGTTACCGAATAAGTTCTTTACCAATTCCATTGGTCCGCACATATCCAGAAGTAAAAATCAACTAAGGCGGACAAATATGCGTATGGAAAATGTCATGAGTGACTTTCAGTTACGACCGCCTGTGCATGACAAATGTAATCACATATTATCAAAGAGGAACAAGTATGCTAACCGACCACAAATATTTACGATAAAAGATAGATTTCTGCCGCCTGCATTGATAAACACCGTACTAACCTCTGTGATTGTTGGACCGAAACTATTTGATCCTGATTTTGCTTAATTAAATTTACCAAACCCTCGATTCAATATCAAAGTTCAAATAATCATTGACAAGCAGACAGGCGCATTGAAAAGTAAATGGTCAAATTCTGTTATGAAGGCCTGATAGAAGGTAAAGATCGTTCCAATGGACAGATTCGACTACATACACAAAATGAATAGCATTCTGTCAGGCCTGTTCAAGTTTCAGGTGGTAAGGGAGAACAATAAACTACAAAATGATGAAAAACTACCTCAAAAACGCTACAGTACACGAAACAAACTGGACAGGCTGACGCCAATGCATTACGGCACATATACCCAACTGGTACGGCGATTCCTCGGTTGCATTTCAAAACCTAACATTGATCCTCATCACTTCAAAATTATCGATTTTTTTCACAACATAGGTTTTTTTACGAGCGCGCAACGAAACACTGATGCGCGCTGGTTTTGTTTTCCACATGCGCACTGCAAACACACAAAACGCTGAACTCATGAGTCTCTATTCGGGCGACAGAGATCTTCATTACAAAAATATGTGATGGTTACCGGTGCGGATCTTGTTGATGCGTATATCAAGACGGCCGCGAACGCGTAATCTAGAAATGAGTTCGACAAATAATCAGTAATTGAAGACCCACTGATGTAACGTGAAACTGCGAATATGCTAACCTGTTGTTCCGGACAAATGGATCAGGAATCAGCTAGGACGATTGAACTATGAGGAATGAATGAAAGCTTTGCACGGGCGGACATATGAAACATTAAACGGGTAAGACAAACGCACTGAGAACTTAAAACAGGGACGTACGATCAAACACTCGAAGGGCAGCATGAATGTGCAATAACGGCGTACGGCCCATATACTGTAATCACACAATTTCTATATGGTCGTTTAGCTGCAAAATTTTCTCTGCTACAACATCAAAAGGAAGCACGAGAGTCGAGATAATTCCAGGGTGCCTAGACAGGAGCAACCGAGATAGTGAGGTTGTGTTTTAAGCACGAACCTTCAGGTCAATAAGTTCATGTCGGACACAATGAGCTATTTTCCCTCTCTCTCTCTATAATCGTCCAGCTGTAGCACCCTTTCGGTGCCTAGCTGCCATGCCACAGGGAGGAGGCACGAGGGCTGGGATATTGCCAGGTTGCCCAAGCCTAGACAGGGGAAGTCGAGTGGCAGAGGTCGGGTTCGAACCACGGACTATATATATATATATATATACGGGTTTAAACACAGTAAAACCACAATGCAATTTGTTAGTAACGACAGTTATCCTACAACTTAAAGAAACACCTATGGTCCGGTGCTATAGTAGCTTTGACTTGGACAGTCGGTGAACTAATACAGGATGAGGGCTTTCACTTATGGCTATTGGTGTAAACCGTCCGTTTTTCGTGACCAAATACCGATTGTTGTAACCATTACGACAGAGAATGTCGCAACCAACACATTACCACCCAATCATGTTTTACAATCTGCCCAGGTCCAACAGTGAACCGTAAGTAGAGTTCCCATTTGTATAACCATTTCGCTGACTGGCTTTATTTCAATTTTGCTCCTTGTTTAAACCCTTTTGGTATTTATACGCGTACTTATCTGACTAGACTGGATCAAAGTCAGTAATTGCCATGCGCGTCTGCCAAGTTATGGATTAACAAATTAACAAGGATTTATCAAAGGAAGCTGTGCCAATCACTAATGGGTTCTTGTGGCACAAAAAAAATGGATGAGGATAAATCCGAACGAAGAAGTCACGTGAGAGCAGTGATCGAGCAAGCGTTCTGTGACAAAATGATCCCCACGTCTATCTGTGCTTTTAATTCAGGAAATCACACAGTGCTTTTCTCAGCTGTGCGTGCACGCGAAAACACGCACGTTCAGAGCAAAAATAAAAGTAGGTAGTAGACCATGGCATCACAAGCGGACAAGATTCGACTTTTTCTCCGAGACATTTATCGCTTTAATGTACCCCGGTGCATACATGAAAAAAACGTGTTCTAGCGCGCTGTGCGATTCAAATATTTCAAACAATCAAAATACATGTCTACCGATTCTACTTTGAGTATCTACGTTATGTAGGTGGTTCCTTGAACCAGCCAAGACTATGCAATTTGCTGCTATCAGGAACAACTCCGAACAAACTGTCGATCAATACCTCACTCTGTGTTCTGCTCAGTATTATTACGATAAGAGGGAATGAAAAGCACGGGTCTATTCCACTGACTATAACCTCCTTCAGATTAGTCACCTATCAAGCGATACAACTACCTACTGCTGCGAATGCCTTCCCCACGTCCTAGGTGTCGCATTTTCCACCGGTTTTCTCAGTCTTGCCCTATGCATTTGCGAGATCTCCACATGCTACCATGATTAGTATTTGCCAGAATGACTTTCCCAGCGTTAAGGTTATCAATATATAGGAAATATAGTCTCCATTTGCCGCATTGAACCGACCGAGTAGAGGATTTTGAAAGCCACTGGAATAGTTCCTCTCAGACGGCGTCACCTACCATCAGCATGCTCGTTGTTTTCGATTTTGAATTAACTGACGTGCGACAACTTGGAACTCTCAGAGACGGATGCTGCTGGGCTACAGTGGAACGCTGAAGGTGGCGAATCGGTACTTGTCTTGTCGACCAAAGTAGTTCCGAAGGATGCCGAATAGTCAGACGTTCACGGGCCAACGTGTAATCACAGCTAGGCTGAATATCCCAAAGGGAACGACAAGTTGGAGGCTTGCACTGTATTAGTAACTGATAGTCACATGCCCCGAATGATTAAACGCCGCGTATGGTGAAAATCTGTGCTGGAAGGTGATGATTAACGCAAGGGTGCAGGGACCGGACCTGTTGTTTGTACGACAAGCATCCGTTTTGACTGGGTCACCTATATGGGTTCGTACAGGATTCACTCAACCAGCATGGCAGTTGGAACCATTCGTAAGGGCGGGTGTTAGTGTTTTTCGCAGGCCAGACCAGTCGGATCGGTAAAATCAATCTTTCTCAGATTCCGGACTGCCAGGACCCTGTACTATTACAAAGAGGCAACTCCCATTCCCGCGAATGTCACTGATCCTCCACGAGATTAACAATCGAACAAGACGAAGGGATTACCGGAATCCAGTCTAGCTGGT